GCCGCCTGTGGGGTGGGAGGTGCGAGCAGAGGGAGAGGTCTTCCTCCCTTCCCCTCCGATCCCCCTCTCTTTCTCTCGGCGCTGCGGCGGGACAGCTTTGCCTCTCCCTCTCTCTGCCTCTCTGCCTTTGTCTCTGCCTTTGTCTCTTTCTTTGTCTCTGTCTTTGTCTCTGTCTTTGTCTCTGTCTCTGTCTCTCTGTCTTCTTGTCTCTGTCTCTGTCCCTGTCCCTGTCCCTGTCTCTGTCTCTCTGTCTCTTTGTCCGTCTCTCTCTTTTTTTTCTTGTTCTCTCTCTCTCTCTTTTGTTTTCTCCTTCTCTCCCTCTCTCTCTCTCTTTCTTTCTCTCAGCGGGGAACCGGAAAAGAACAGCTGGCCAGCCGATTCGCAGTTCTGCGAGTTCCGTTGCCTTTCGCCCACGCTTTGCGAGTCGCCGATGTACTGTCTGACCTCCAGCCCCGACCATCCGAGCTCTGGAGATCAGTTTCGGGCTCCCAGCTCTCACCTCGGCTTCTGACCCAGTGTCGGCATGCGCACCGCTCGGCCTCCGCCTCATGAACTCGGGTCCCAGCCGTCAGAGCTCCAGCTCCCAGCTTTCGACACCTAGCTTTCTACCTCGAATCGACATTCAGCTTCCGACAATTACTCCGCGGCGTGCACTCTTCAGCCTTCGCTTCGCCGCAACGACACCGGTACGACTGAGACGACCATCGTTATGGCAAATCACGTACCTGACGTATGACGGCGATGGCTATTGCGGATCTTTCGTTGCCTCTTGCCCCGCCAGATCACTTTCTGAGAGTATCTGGTCACATGCGTGAAGAAGTGGATATCGGTGAAGTGGACTCTGGACTGCGCCGTACACGCTGGGCCACGACCCAACGTCCCCCCTTCCTTCTATCCCACCTTTCAACGTAGAGGGGGGCAGGAGGTCTTGACCAAAGGATCACAAGTCAGAGCCCAGGTTCGGCCCCTGGGAAACCGTGTATGTGAATCCGCTCATGGATGCCCTGTCCCACCATGTGGGATAACTAGTGTCTCATGTCCGCTGCTGTTCATCACGACACAGCTACCCTGGCGTCGGCCATCCGAGTTCCAGCTGCTATTCAGACCTGGGCGACGACGCTGACAGCGAACGGACGTTGGCACAGACGTGCGATGCCGACAAGCGGCAGAGATCCATCGGCGAGTCGGCGAACTCACTCGAGATGTGTGGGATGCCAGGACACGGACAGACAGCAAGCATCGCGGGCTCCCGGCCCCCCCCCCGGGACGCAGGCCCTGACGGGCCCAGCCCCAGCCGTGCCCCGTGCGCCGCCTCGCCTCGCCCGCGTCGCGGGGGAGCTGCGGGGGCCGAGCTCCCCGAGCGCCGAGCCGGCTGCCGTCCGAAGTCGTGATTCCGGAGGGGGAAACGACGCACAGACACAATCAGTCGTCGATACCCATGAAAGTAGGGGAACATGTGGGAAGTGGGGGGGAAGACAACGACCCAGAACATGTGGGAGGATATCGTGGGAAATGGGGGGAAGACAAAAAAAACCCAGAACATGGGGGAAGACAAAAACAAAACCCCCAAACCCAAATATGGGAAAGTATGAGAAGTGTGGGGAAGACAAAACCCGAGAGCGTGTATTTCGTTGTGTGTCCCTGGGCCCCTTCGTTGCTGGTCCTCTCTCGCTCTCCCGTGCTCTGCCTCGGCGTGGCCGGCTCCAGGCGCGGAGCGCGGCGGGATGGCCGCCGCCGAGGAGGGGGAGGAGAGGGAGGAGGGGGAGGAGGGGGAGGAGGAGGGGGAGGAGGGAGGAGGGAGGAGGAGAGGAGGAGGAGGAGGAGGGGATGGAGGAGGAGGCCAGGAGGAGGAGGAGGAGGAGGAGGAGGAGGAGGAGGAGGAGGGAGAGGAGGAGGAGGAGGAGGAGGAGGAGGAGGAGGAGGAGGAGGAGGACCTCCCTCCCCAGACCACCAAGTCGACTCAACCTCTTCGATTCGCGGGGCGCCCGAGGTCTCGGCCAAGGTCTTCGAGAGACAGCCCCCCCCCCTTAGGCCCGAAGCGTCAGCCTCCGGGAGGCCGGAGAATGCGAAAGAAGCTCGAGCTCCATATTCAGAAGAAAACCGCATAAACATGAACTTTTGGCGCTCCGCGCGGATTTCTTGGATCCGCCTCTGGGCCCCCCCCAGCGGCGCCTCCAGCGCCGCCCTTAGCGCGCTCCGCGCGCCAGGGAGGGGGATCCAGCGCGAACCAAGAAATCCGCGCAGAGCGCCATTTTTACCTAACAGCTTTTGCTGATAGGTTGTTAGTGGTGTCAAAAGAGGCATCTTGACGCCCCAGAGGGGTCTGGGCGGAACCCGGACAGGGAACCGGACGGACCCGCCAGCCCCAGGAATCCTTAGGAATCCTTAGGAATCCTTCGGAATCCATTCCCAGAACACCATTCCCAGGCCACATTTTGAATGCCCGGAGCCAACTGTAGGCCTTTTCGTGTTCTTCGTTTTCCCAGAACACCATTCCCAG